ACTGGGTGGGTGGCATTAAGTCTATGAGTAGCCAAAAAAAAGAGATGGGGACCATCTGATAAAGAATGAGTCATAGACTGCAGAGAACGCCACCCATATGAAAGTGATTATGTGGCTTAGAAAGTAAGCTAGCAAAATGTAACGCATTAAAGGAAGCTGTTTTTGAACCATATTGGAAAAGATTTGACAGGAGAATGAAGAGAGAGGAAGAAAGATCAAACAGAAGTCAAGAAGTCATGAGGGAATATCTATCTCTGTGTAGGTGCAGACATCCCACTCTTTGGGCTGGATCCTAATCATTATGTTGGTGTATATCCAAACTACCACTGCAGTGAGTGGAGCTACACTGGACTTGTACCAGTGCAACTTTTACCGGAGTCTGAATCCCTCTTACAGCCGTTTTTTACCTTAATTGTTTATCCTCGCAAAGGGGTGGTTAATTCAAAGCCAGAATCTCTACCTCATCATATAAACAGTGCTGAGTGAGTGCAGAGCCAGTGTAGAAGGCTACAAGATCAGCATAGTGGCGTTATTAAGTGCAGACTGCACAGAAGTAAATTATTACACAGACTGGGGCAGCAGACAGCCAGATCTGTGGCGTTCCATGTTGTGGAGAGTCCCTGTAACTTTTCTCTTGGGAGCAGAGAGGTTTCCTATGCATGTAGTCAGGGATCCCATGACATACCTCTGGATTTAGGAAGATCTGTCAGAGGGAAGGAGCATATATGCATAAACCACCCTTCTGCTGGTCTCTGTAGTACAGGGTTTTACAAGGGCTGCCTTTAAGGACAGAGTCCACAGCATGAAGAAAGTGGAATTGTTATGTAGTAACTTTGAGCCACCTTTTCTGCAAGTTGGTGGGGATCTTCCATCACCATACTGTAGGTTTGAGGATAAACTCCAGTCCAGAACAGGTTATTCACTTGGAGTTGTTCTGCATTGAGATCTGTAGGCCTAAGCAGTCTTCCATGGAGTCCAGGGGATACTCCTCTCCAGAATACCATTCTCTTCTCAGATACCTGTAGGTCATATTGCTTCCTGAACCCACAAAACACTGTGCTCAGCAGGAAGCCCCTGCAGCAATGGCTGAGGCCAATCTACTGACCTTGGTAAGACTTGCCGCCTTTTGTGACTGCGCTAGAAACTCTAAGGCTGCGATGGACAACTACCAAGAATTGTTTGGGAGGGTGTACCCTTCCATCCCTGTTCTAACTCAGGTGATTGAAATGGACAAGAACGCACAGGATAGACAACCTCTGTTTGCACTGATTTTGGAAAGTCATGTCAAACTGATATATAATTTGGAAATAAACAAGCTCTGCTAAAACACAGTACAGTCATTGAGAATCCATGTGGTGCTAAATAATAAGTTAGTTATTGAATTTAAGATACACAAATCTGTTGCTCAGTAAGGGGCTTTGGTGGTGATTTACTGGGCGCATCAACATGAGATGTTTATTGTGGAGACACCTAATTAGCACAGTAAACATCTTGATGTCTTTGTACGTGGCCCTGTTACACTGCAGGACACTAATAAACTCCGCAGCAGGTTAGTACTTGTAAATACAAGTACCGTCCTGCTGCAGAGTTTTTTCATGCGCAGCAACACACATGTAGACATTGTCCTGGCTGGCTGGGGCACAAGGAAGCTTCAGTGTGGGGGCTGCCTGCCAGTTAGCTCCACACTAAAGCACCCTCGTGCCCCAGCCAACCCCTCAGCAGCACGTTGAACTGGGTTGGAGCAGCCCTGGACTGGCAGTTTGACCCCCAAACTCCCTGCCAGTCGGAGCTCCTCCACCCCAGCTCAGTGTGCTGTGGTCCTGCGCACACATTTAAACAGCACACCTTGGAGCAAAGAATTCCAGCGCTATTTGCATCCGAGTTTATTGCTGTGAATTAATTGCACGTGTAGACGCACCATTGATTAGTATTATCTGGTTACATTTATTTGGAGCCATGGCATATTTATATGTGGTAACTTCATAATGGCAACCAGTACTCTGTACAGGTGTTGCTAGCCTTTCATTTCACTGTTTCATCTGAACTGTGGGGTAGCTATTCCCATCTTCCTCTTCTCTGCAGTATTTCTGGTTTATGAAATGTACAACTCAAACTAACCCTTGTATCTTATTTTGAGAAACCAGCCATCTTATTATGTTATTTTAGCTTTTCTAATACTGAGAAGCACAACATTACATTATTTTTCAGTTGCTCCCTAGTCTAAATTCTTTGAGGGTGCAGTTTTCTGAAGTGTTTGTCCTTTTGTGCATTTCCACTGAAGTCAATGCTGGGCATTTTTAGAAACTCCAAACTTATATAGAGTTTTCTTTTCACACAGGCTGGGCCTATTTCTGCCTTTACTTACACTGCTGTAAATCAGAAGTAGCTCCACCCAAGTCATTGGAATTGCAGCAGAGTTACGCTGGAGTAAGTGATCAGATTCAATTCTTAGATCTTATATAACAAAGTCATAAGTATCCTTTATTAGTAAGTTAAGCAGTGCAGTGACTGATTAATACTTTTGCCACTGAGGACTTTTTTGCCATGAACTATATGGATTTGTAAATAAATCTCTGCCTTGCAGAGGCAAGTGCCTCTTATCATATATCTCAGACTGGGCACCCAGGAGGTAGTTGCATATAACTTTATTACTAAAACTTTTAGGATGTGTGAATGGTACTAAGCTGGTTGTACAGTGCTGGTAAAACTGATGTAACCTATTAAATCAATGACTTGTTGCTGAATAGTGATGATGATTGCTACTGCAATTGTTGCATGTGTACAGCATTAGTAAGCATATTTGTATCAGACCAGTATCCAGGGGCCCTGGCTGGGATCAGGACACCAGCATGCTGAGTGTTGTACAAACACAGATAAGTGTCAGCCCTTGCCTTAAAGCAGAGACCTCCAACTCATACAGCCCCAGGCCTGATCTGGACCACAGGGTTCTTTGTGGACTGGATCCAGACCCAGAGGAGAATCTGTGAATCTCTGCTGGTGGGGTGAGCAACAGCAGCATTAACCCCCATGGGTGCCTGAGCCACTGTATCAGCTCAGGGAGCTGTGGGGGTCAACACCACTGATATTTGCCATGCTGCTGCAGAATTGAGTTCCCAGCAGGGTTTCCATATCTGGATGTTTGGCAGCAGGGTGAGTGACAGCAGCATCAACCCTCACAGAACAGCCACTGAATTACCAGTCACTCCAGGAGCCATGTGGGCCATATGTTTGACACGCCTGCTTTAAAGTGTACATGTATCTTGTGTGTGTTGAAACAGGAAAGCTTAAGAGTCTGTCTCATAGTAATAATGTTACAGGATTATATCTATAGCAGGTTGGGGAAATGCAGAGATTTTTTTGTGTTAAAGTCTTAAAGTTCTTTTCAGAAAGTGTCTATGAAAGTTTGAAAATAACAGTAAAAACTCAGCTACTTGGCAGTGAGCATGGCTGTCTGGCATTATTATGGTTTTATTTTATTTTATTTTATTTTATTTTATTCAGAGTTTCCAAAAATATAAACCACCTCTATTCATGTCTTTGCATTTATAACTGTGGTAAACGTGAATGCTGTAAATCAAACCACCAAATAGAAAATCTCACTAATATCTCTCACCCTTTGTTTACAAGCCTGGATGACTTTGTTATGTGCTTGCTCAACAAAGATTTAACCACCTATTGCTGGAATGGAAGCCACATAATGTAGGGCAATTGTTCTCAGCCTTTTTCCTACCGGGACCCATTTGCAAAAGTCCATGGCCTGTCCCGACCCACACCCCCCTGGCCCTGCCAATGCCCAACCCCCAATCCCCTGCCCCTCAGGCCATGCTGGTGTCCCTCACTCCTGACCCACAGCTCTTTGCCCCTTCCAGCCCTGCCAGAGGGGTCCCTAGCTGCCCCCATCCCAGTCGGGCCAGAGTTCAGTGGCTGCAGCAGCTCTGGCTCATGCGAATGGCAGCAGAGCAAGTCCAGCCTCAGCACAGGCGCAAGAGAAGAGGAGGAGGAGAAGCCTGTGGCACGCCCCCTGCCTGGGCTGGGGCTGCCACGTCACACCAGGCCACCTAGTCATGGCCCCTCCTGCCCCACTGAGCAGTGTCTCCCAGCCACCCTGCCCCTGCAAGCACAGGCACCCACTGGCCCAGTGCCGCCAGCCTGACCACACAGCTCTCCCTCAAGTCTCAGTTCCTGGCCACCTTCCCCCACTGCCAACACACTCACACACGCTTTCTCTTTCTCTCCCTCTCTCTCTCTCTCTCTCCCCCCACTGCCCCTCCAAGCCCCAGCCCTCCAACCCCCACTCCCCATACACTTACCTAGACCCGGCTGCTGGCACTGCTCTCACAGCCCTACCTGGCTGCATGTGTATGCAGATGTACACATGCCCATTGTCTCCAGTCACCCCAAGCAGCACCTTTTTCTGTAACTTGCTTGCGACCCTTTGAAATATTCTTGTGACCCACGGGTTAAGAAACACTGCTGTGTGGGATATGTGCTGGACTGGGACTTGGGACACCTGCATTCAGTTCCTGGCTCTGCCACTGGCCTGCTGGAAGACCATGGACTAGCCATTCCCCTGCTTTGTGCCTCAGTCCTGTATGTAAAATGGAGACTATGAGGCTCCCCTCCTTCAAGTGCTTTGAGATCTGCCAGTGAAAAGCACCAGATTAGGACTACTGCTGTCAGTGCATTGTGTGCCAGTCCCATTACTACACTGCTGCCAAACGTGCTGCAGATTATGAGCTAGGAAGGATGATCCTAAAGTAAAAAATAAACCTGTCATGACACATTAACAAAGTATCTTTGGTGAGGGCAGTAGCTTAGAGGGAGGGTAGTGGCCTTGCCAGGGTTTGGGAGTTAGTAATTAAGAAGGAGAATCTCAGTTAGTGTCCCAGGTGCTAGTATGAGTGAGTGATATCCTATTTAACAGCTAAGCTGAATGGGAAGCTGACTAGTGCAAGGGAAGAAGTGATCTAATAGACTTTCTTGCTTTGTTTTCCTGGCAGGATGGAGAAAAAGAAGATAGTGATGAAATCCAAAGTTGCTTCTTCGAACCTTCTGAGGGCGCTGCATTCACTCTATCAGTTCGGTCACCTCTGTGACGTGATAGTCCACACCGAACAGATGGGAATTCAGGAGGAGTTTCTGGTTCACAAGGCAGTATTGGCAGCTTCCAGCAATTACTTCAAGGGGCTGTTTCTTCATGATGAGATGTTGGACACTAAGACCCGCACAGTGACTCTACAAGATATTTATACAGAAGAATTCACTTCCTTCCTGGAGTTTGTTTATACTGCCGAAGTAGAGATTGAGGCAGAGAAATTGCATCGGATGAAGGAAATAGCTGAGAGACTTGAGTGCAAGGATTTGCTTGATATTTGTGAAGAAATGAACTTGGAGAGTAAGGAAGGCTTAGATCCAAGTGTCCATTTAAAAGGTCAGATACACAAAAATGGTGGGTCCCAGTGGGCTTATGTCCCACAAACAGAAGACAGTGAACTGGGTAATTCATCCCCATCTGGGGCAACACCGCTGCAAAGAAAACTGTGGGATGGCCAGAAACACAGGAAATTATTAACCAGCTATGAACTTGTGGAATGTCAACCTACAGATCCTAACAAGGAAGGGACTGCTCTTTCAGAGTCAACAGCTGGGATGGCCAAGCTAGCTGAGCATAACAAGACAGACACAAGTGAGATGATTGGTGTGGATGCTGCCAACTCAGGGGGAAAGAAGACCCGCTCTTCTGCCCCAAGTGAGCCAGACTCCAAGGAAACCTGCATAGTCATTAAAAAGCTGCTCCCTGCCCAAGGGGAAGATGAAAATACTTTAATCTCAGAGCTGCCCAGTAAATTTGAGCCCAGGAGATCACTTCGCAACGGATCAAAAATCTTGCCCCAAATGTACACGTGTGAGAAGTGTAACCAGTCATTCCATTTCATCAAGCAATATCAGTCACACATGGAGCTGAAGCATAATATTAACATTGTCACCAAATACAGCTGCAACCTATGTGACCAGCTCTTCTCTAATCGCCAGAACCTGAAACAGCACAAGCTCACTGTCCACAGTGATGAGAGGCGCTTCCCTTGCATGTCCTGTGACAAGAGATTTAAGCGCCAGAAGGATATCAATGACCATGTTCGGAGGGTTCATGAAAAGAAAAGGAGCCCTCAGGCATGCCCATACTGTGACAAGGTTATCAGCTCCAAGTGTGGCCTCACAGTTCATATGCGCACGCACACAGGAGAGAAGCCCTACAAATGTGAACACTGCCTTGCAAGCTTTGCTCAGAGATCTGCTTACAATACCCATGTAAGGTATGGCCTTCCATGCGGGGGTGTGCCAGGCATGGGAAGAGAGGGTGGGTTTCAGAACATATTTGATTGCTTCTGTGCTAGGATACTATAGATCAGATACAAAGCCTTTTGAAGCTGGCACAAGTCTTTCCATTGACTTCAATGGGCTATGCAGTCTGGGGTTCTCAAAGCCATGTGGGAGATGTAGCTAGACATTTCTTATTGAAATGAATAAGAGTTGGGCCACCAGGTCCTATCAGTAGCTTTGAAAGTTTCGGCTGGTGGGTTTTAAATGTGGGCCAGGAAAATTGTGTTGTGTTAAAAATGAACTGTAGGGGTAGGAGAGAAAGGAAACAGGTCAGTCTGGATAGTGGGGAGGAGGCAGGGAACAGGTCAGTCTGCTCAACTACTCTTGCCCTTGGCATCCACTCCTGCCAGTGTGAGAAACAGAGTACTGGACTAGGTGGATCTGCGGTGTGACTCGGTACAGCCTTTCCTACAAACAAGAAAATGGCCCTTTCAGAAGTGGCCAGATAGCCTGATACTTCATTGTTATTTGATCAGAAATCCTGAGGGCTGTGGGCCTCTCAAACATTGATTGACTGGAAATGAGATGGTAAAATCACCTGGTGTCCAGATCTGCCTGTAGTCACTCAGCATACCAAAGAGGTCATGTGTGCATGCCACTGGGTGTATGGAGCATTCGTAAGCATTTCAGCTTTCATTTTCATTGTTCCTAACCCCCACCCCTCCCTCCCCTGTGTGCAAAGAAATCCTTTCAAATGTGACCCCCTGGCAGTGGATGCATTAGTGTCTTCCCAGTGGATACAGTGTCTTCTGGAGGTGGCAGACAGCCAAGAATGAGGACTTAGAGGTGTGAACTTCTCAGCACCCATTAATCTCTAAAGCTCAGTGATGATGTTTTAATTGTTAGTGTTAACACTTTCTTTGCCAATCACTTCCTTTTATGGCATGGAGAAGCAGGAATGGAGTGAAATCTCTGGGTCAGGGGGAATTGATCAGAGCTCTGGGATAGTTAATTCAAAGAGAAGAAAAGCGGAAAAATAAAAAAAAAAAAGGAACGGAAGATGGCAGAGAGAAACAAAGCATAAAACTAGCTGCAGTCCCTGAAGTGAGTGGGTTTCTACTGAGTGATACTGAATGCAGTGGTGTAATGTTGAATGTATACACATCAGTTGTCATGAGTACAGACACATCAATCAGCAGCACTGATTCTTGTTTGCTTAGGACAGAAAAAGCATAACTTGGAAAAGCTACTGTAGAGGTGCAAACTGTCCACTCTTTACATCTAGCTGTTCCTTCTAGTGGCAAACAGAAGTCTTCATATGTGCTTATATTATCTTGAGATGCCCTGGACACAGTCTTTCAGTAATCTTTGTGTAGACTGCCCCCACTTCCCATGGATGTGAACAGGGTGATTTGATACCTGTGGAGTATCTATTTGGACCTCTGGGATGGACAGAAATGCATAATTAAGTTTGGCTGGTTACTCCACGCGTGTTTGCCTCCCCCACAGTGCATGACCTGAGAGACAAATAGATAGATGTTCAAGAAGAGCCCTAGCCAAAGAAATACAATAAAGCAGTAGGTTGTCACTGAGTGTGTTTCTTTGAGTGTAAAATGACAGGATTGCCAGGCTGTGCCGGTGGAAAAGTCCTGAAGGTAAACACTGAAGGAAGATGAAACTTCACTTTGTGGGAAAAGAGAGGTATTTAGCCATGTTAGTCTTAAGTCAAGCAGAAGGCAGGGTAGTGACTCTGCTAAGATGAACCTCTACCCTGTCTTCTGTGGAAAAAAAGGAGAGAATCATATTTTTGTTTACCCTGGGAAAACTGTTCTGGCTCCTGCAATATGTAGAGTAGATCCCATCAAGATGAAGGGAGGGAGAAAAGAAAAAAACACTTCCTGTTTGGGAACTTACTTCTCAGGGGTAAAGCCTATATAATCTGACCTGAAAAAACATTTGCAAATGCAGTTTAAGTAATTTTGATCATCCAGATTGATATTCACTGCTTAAGTGTCCTCACTGATGCCAATCCTAGTGACTAAGTAAGAAAACTGGTGCAGGTCATGAGTTGAATCCTCAGCAGTGAGGAAAATAGCTTTACACTCTGCCCTTATCCTGGGGCCAGCTTGGGAGCTATATCAGGCCCCTTGCATTAATTAGAAATGGACAGACCTACAGATAAAGCCCTTCCAGCTCTGCCCTTTTAAGTATCTTTAATGTGCAGTGATTCTCAGCCTTTTTAGAAGGGGTGCACCGATAGAGATTTTTGAGCCGATACCAATGGCAGATTTTAAACAAGCCATATTGGCCAATATCGATTTGATTCCAATGTGCAGCTGGGCAGCTTGGAGACCAGTGTCTGGTGTGACTGGGAACAGCCCAGTGGAGCCCCTGATCCCAGATGGAGGCCCCCATGGTGAGGGAGGGAGTGGGGCTGGGGCAGGTGCTCCCCACCCGGGGCAGGGCAGGGCACAGGATGGAGCCATAAATGTTTCATCCAGAGAGTGGGGGGAGCAGTTCCCACCACTGCATGCACCCTGGGAGGGCATGGGGGCGGGGGTGCCCCCCGGATCTGTCTGCGGGGCAGGGCAGGCTGCCGCTGCGGGCTGGGCCATGGGCTGTGCCAGGCTCTTCCCGGCAGGAGCTGTGCTCAGGGTGGACAGCGGTGCTGGGAGGGGGGACATGGAGGGGAGCTAGAACCACCACAAAATTTGCTGTAGCCCCTTGCCCTATAGACCCCTCCCAGCACCACCACCATCCCCCCCGAGCACAGCCCCGGCCCAGCTACCCTGCTGGGAACAGCCCAGCGCAGCCCGTGGCCCCAGCCTGCATCAGCAGCCTGCCCTCACCCCATGCACAGATCTGAGGGCACATGGCCCCCATTCCCTCCCAAGCTGTATGCAGCAGTCAGAGCCACCCCACACCCCCTGGATGAGCCGCTCACCACTCTGTCCCACACCCCACCCCGGATGAGCAGTGCCTGCCCCAGCCCCACTCCCTCCCTCACCACGGGGGCCTCAATCTGCACCCACCAACGCCCCTTCTGTCCCCCCATCCTTCCCCCACAACAAACTTACCAGCCAGATGCTGCTCTCCAAGCTACCAGGCTGTGCTACTGGCCATGTGCATGCTGCAGGTGCTCACATACGCACGGCTTTTATCAGCCACATTATCAGCCACATGAGGCAATAGTTGATTTCCAATGCTGTCAATTTTCCCTATATCAGTGCTGATCCAATATGGGACCAATGTATCGATGCACCTCTACTTTTTAAACTTGAGGCACCCCTCAATAGACTTAGGGTGCCCCTCAGAAAGTGCCAGCTCTTAGCTTTCACTTGATTTAAGAATAGAAAAATAATAGACTAATGCTTTGGTTGCAAAGAATTCAGAAAGACCGCAGCAGGGCAAAATGTTTCTGACACAGTGGGTTCCTATTTCAAATCTCTAGGCTTATCTTTCAAATCCTGTTTGCACACCTAACAGCACTGATCTTGCATGGCACCCCACAGCATCCTTAAAAAGAACTCGAGGCACCCCGGGGTACCACAGCACTCTGGTTGAGTATCACTTGTGTAGCACTTCAGTACCGTACACAAATAAAACTGCCTCCCATCTAAAGTGTCACTGTGAAGCACTTCAATTACCTGTTTCATTCAGGGTCATTTTTTAACATGGTGTGGGCTGATCTGGAGTACTGTATCACTGTCATCTGTCTGCTCAGTTTTTATACTGCTTTGAAGTTGTTTGAAGTGCTGTAACTGTTATGTCTGTGCATGCCCAAAACAGGAGGGCTTAGATCTCATCTCTGTGCTTTAATTTTTGTATCATTAACTTTCTCCGCCTACCAAAGCACCAACGAATAATCAGCGTGAGTGTTTATTCACAGCAAGAGGGTCTTTACTTTCCAAGCAGTTCCTGGAGCATAGTAAATTCGGAAATCTGTTATATGAGTTTTTGTGTCGGTTTTATTCCTGAAATCCGCCCCACTCCCGACCCCTCTGCATTTTAAAGTAAATATATTTCCTCCCCCTTCCTAAAATCTGATCAACATAGGTAGCAATTTCAAGGACTGCCTCTCTAACCATGGTCAAGTATGTGAATTTCAATTCACAGCCTCCTATCAAATATCATTATTTTGGTTCTTGTGGATTCCCAAGGTAATGAATAAGCCAGGTAGAGTTGAGTAGATTTCTTCTGCAGGTACACTGCAGATCCCTTTTCATTTAATGGAGAGCTACCGTTACAAATAACCAAGGACAAAGACCATTTACAGTTAATTTTTTGCGCACTTGCTTGGTCAGCAAGTTTGGAAACCCTGTTAGCCCATGGCTAATCCAGTTACCAGACCTGGCCTGAATTTCTGCTGTTGCCTTTCTGAGTCCTGGAGTGACTCCCTGACCCTTGCAGTCTCTCCTGGTTCCTTCAAAGATTCAGTTTTCCAGTTAGGACCCTCCTCTTCCTTGAAGGTCTGTCTCCCTTTTCAGTCTCCTACCCAAGCCCTTCACTTCCCTAGCTATGGAAAAGATCAGGACAAATAAATGATGTTCTCTCCAAAGTTCCTCTCTGTGCTAAGGGCCATGTAAATGTGCATTGGAGGCAGTTGTCTTTTCTGGAGAGCTTGCAATCTAAAGCGAAGAAAAATAAAAGAAGCAGGATCAGGGAAACTAACGCACAGAGAAATTGTCAGGTCACACAAGAAGCTAGTAGCTGAGCCAGGAACTGACTCAAGACTTCTACTCCAGTGCGGTTCCTTCCCCATAAATCCATTTTCCCTGTCATGCATGAGGATTCATGGCCAATATTAACAGGCTTCTGCCTCCGGCATCAACAGGCTGTAGTTTTAGTCACAGGTGACCAATCCTGCCTCACATTTTATTATTGTGTCTCATTAATCAATTCAATCCTGGATCTTTTGAAGAATTTCTCATGAAACTATGCAAGAGGCAAGGATTTTTGTGGGTGATTATCTTTTATTGGACCACCTGCATAGTTGGAAGAGATTTAGATGGCTTTTGAGTACAAGGAGCCCTTCTTCAGGTTATGAAATGACTTACATAAAATTATACCACCTGTCTGTTTCCAAAGGAAGAGAAGAAGTAGATCTGCATGCCCAGGCGTGACACTTGTGTGTATAGTGTGTACAGTTAGTTCTGAACCTGTGCTTGTTAGCAGCTTAGACATTGATTGTATCTGATTTCCTTAAGAGCCCAGTCTGGTGTACTAACTCTCTTTGAGTTATGATTTCAAGAGGACTACTCATAGCCTATGCATGCTTCTCTATATTAGAAAGGTTATCAGAACCTAAATAAATACAGAAATGATTTGTGCTGCTGTTGGCACATGGAAATATTTTTAGCCAGGCAGTATTTTTAAATAAGAAATGCTTTACATTATAATCATGGTGATAGTGGTGGTGGTGGCAGCACAAAAGTTTGTTAGTTATTTATTTGGATCCTGTTTCACTAAAGACTTCATAAGCTTCTAATCAAAAGATAAATACTTATAATGGACTGTCTGCCCAAGCAATAAGAAACTCTGCCTTATGTAATTGTATGCACAAACTGGGCACATCATTGCGTGTGCATTTTGTGCATGCAGAGACATGCCAAATTTATTTTAAAGCCAAACACCATATAGTTTTCCAAAGACAAATTGTTTGTTGTTGTAGACTGTACATTAACCAGATATTGAAGTTTTCTTTGAAAGGATGAAGCCCCCCCATTCTTTCTTCTGGTACATGGATGCACTTTCAGGTCAAAAAACTGGACATTTCTTCCACATATGTTAAAACTGAATGGTGCCCATTACATTTTGGAGTAATCATATCTAGCACACAGTAAAATCTTTACTCCTTCAGATGAAGAGAAACATCTGTTTTTGTCACAAGAAACTGCCAACTATGGTATGTATTTTAGCGGTGTTTGGTTCATGTCCAAAAAATTTCCACTTAGCCATGATACTCTGTAACCCTCCTCCTTGGCCTATAGTCCAACATCGTGCTTCAGTGAGTTTGAGAATTACATAAGAAATATTTATGGTCAGATGTGTTGAATATACAGGCAGTCCTCAGACTTATGACACAATTGGTTCCTGAAAACCATGTCTTCAGTCAAAACATTGTAACTCAGAACCAATTTGCTCATAAGAAATAATGTTATAAATGCGGGATTGGTTCCTGAACCAAGGCCCGATACCCTATTTTCACCAAAAATACCCCAGAACTTTGTACTCGATCAATTATAGATGGGTAATATAGCTACATTAATGTATTTATATTGTAAATAGCAATCAT